AAACTGTATGACTGTTGGGCAAAGTGGTTAGACGTCGTCGGGGGGTTATTTACGACAGTTTGAGGTAATGTGCCGTAAACCATCACTGTCTTGTAGTCACCCGGATGTCTTCCCAGAATCCCTAGGGTACAACAATGGTGGCCCGTTCGATGACAAGTTATGGCGGCGCAAATGTTGTTCAGCAAGCCGTACAGAAAGGTCGTTGTGTACCCATCTAAATAGAGCGTTGAGAATAGAGTCTCGGCGCCATGACAGCACTGAAAGGGGGGTCGACCTCGGCGGCAACGGTATGTCGCTCGTGGAATGACAAAGGGCAAACACCAACAGGCTGTTAAAGTAAGGACAAGTGACTGAACACATCAACACTGAGAAACAACTAAACCCGTTACCATAACCGTCCCTATGGCAACTCAAATCTCCCAATCCCTTTGTTTCTACTATTATTTTATCTGTCGACTTGCCCACGTTTTCAAACTGCGATTTTAAACGGTTTTCTTGAATATATATATAAGACTTTCCTGAATTTCTTCCACTAGAGACGTAACACCTGTGTCAAGAGTCCACAAGTCCACAAACTACATCTCCTTGTCTACTAGAAGGAGAGATTTTCCCCCAGCCGTTTTTTTTCCGAGCAAAGTTCATAGGTTTGTTTGCTAAGCGGACGTGTGATCTTTTGAACTAAGTGTTATAAATACTAAAAAAGCGGGGCTGTACTATTGATGGAAGTTTGGGGAAGGTACAGAGCCGGTGTACCGACTGTTTTCAGCCGTGTTGACTTATCCAACACTGTTTGGTCATCACGACGTATTTACCATTCAGCCCTGCTAGACACAATGATAGTGATAAATGACATACGCCACTTAAACTTTTCTACTCGCCCCCCCCCCCCTCGTACTGCTCAAGAGAAACAGGTGGCACACATCCACACACACACATTGATGAGAAGAAATGGACACCTGTCAACACGATAAAATCTCTTTATGATTTTTCTTTTCATTTTTTCACTGTGGACCGAAATAAAGTCAAGTATCCTAGGATAAGTTCTTTCTACATTTCACATATGATCCAGTACTGGAGCCACAGAACTTACACTATATTTGAGGCAGATTTTCTCTTTTTTTAAAATCATAGTTCACATTTCGTTTCTTTCTCCGATTTTGTACAGTACAGTCTACCTTAGTAAGTAACAATCAAGACAGTAAGTTCAAACAGACATATCCTACAATTTTGCTTTGCTATAGAGTGCATCTATAAAGTGAGCGTTACCATAAAATCTTTCCATAAAATCCCGTGAAATACCACGCAGAATATTTTAGTTTTTGTCATTATCATTTCTTAGAAGGGTACCTGTCCAATACTCTCCAAGTAGAGGTTTTGGGTTATTTTTGGCGTGTTTTAGACTTTTTTTTATTGGGGTTTCTTTTTTGCACTGGAATTTTTCTTTCACTCAAAGTATTTTTTCTTTCACTCAAAGAAAGATTCCAGTGCACCCCGATAAAAAAGTCTAAAAACAAGCCAAAAATGACCCCAAACCTCTGCTTGGAGTGTACCTGTCTCCCCTTCACCTACCTGGGTCCATGCTATACAGGTGGGCATTTTCTCCTCCGAGACAACAATGCTTGTCAAGATAAGGCTGTTTGGACAAGCCGGGGTGATATATGCGCCCAGGTGACTCCGTGTCAGGAGTGGTTTCGTGTCACCTTGTTTCTCGCCATTCTGCAAATATGTGCAGAGGCGGCATTGTGCGCAGGCATGGAGCGCATCGCCTGCCCCGCAGAAAACTTCGCACCTGTTGTGGGGCTGTGGCCCAAACTGCGGTCAGCGAGTAGCGCCGCCCAGCGGCAGTAATCATACATGCAGGTCTCACTCATTGTATCTGTACCTGCATTGTAGTGGATAGTTAGCCTCAACCAGGCTTCGGGAGGCGGCTGGAAAGAGTGGAAATCGGCCAAATAGAGAGATAGCATGCCAAGGGAGTTGGTCTGCTGGAGATAACAGTTTGCGGCAAAATGTATTCTCTAGCGGACCAACTCCCTCGGCATGTTATCTCGGGCTCTATTTGACCGCTTTCTACTTTTTCATGCCGCCTCCCGAAGCCTGGTAGATAGCAGGTATAACCGCCCATCACACCAGCTTTGCGGGCACGCTGTGCGACGGCAGTTGTTTGCGAAGAAATCTTCATTGACAGCGACTTTCGTGAGGTCTTCTACAACTATACCTACACTTGGATACAAGTGAAATTCACAACGTTACATACACTGAATGGTCTGTCACACCATACCTGTACAGGCCAAAATATGTTGCCGTTCCAAAAATTGTAGAGTTGATCGTAGCTTCGTGAAGAACGTTCCTCTGCCAAGGAAATTGCGTTAACCTCGACATACTAAAGTGGTTTCTGTTACATACATATAGGACAGTCACATCTGTGAGTTGAATAACGTTATCTCTTGTCTAGACATTCCCTGTCAGGATGTTTTGCGGTCAAGTTGAAGGTTATTCCCAACTCTTACTCTAACCATAACCGTTAACGTTAACTGTAACCTTAAACTCTATCCTAACCCTAAAGATAATCCTAGTAAGCTTAGAGAAATGTAGATGTTTTGGCGGCGACACCCCTCCTTCACTAAGGTGACCACTCACGCGCGCCCCCTGCCGACAACTGTAAACATTACAGTCAATAAGTGCATTGTCTGCCACAAACCTACATTTTGTACGCGTATGACAACATTTTACGAAAGCTCCGTCATTGGTTTCTTCATTTCCAGGATATTTGAAAAGATTTGCGTGTTCCTTGGAGTCATGTTATGATTTTACATACCCATTTTTTCCCATTCATTGAACAGACCTTTGAAAAGTATTCCCTTCTTCCCCCAAATAGTCACTAGTAAGCAACAAAATAACACATAAAGCCTTCAATAGATCTTCTACTACAGACTGTACTTTATTTCTGGTTACACACAAACTTCCTCAGCAAAGCTTGGGTAATTACTTGGCTACAATATGCAAAATACAGTGATTGTGTCTCAAACATCAAACAATAAATATTTAGACTTTTTGTAGATTTTACGATCATAGATATACAGTTCACATTCAAAAGATATGATATAAAGCTCGGATATATAATTCTTGGACACTATTGTAAGAAAAAAACGCCAGCGTTCTTCACAAATTCTTGCTTACCTCCCTCAAATTCTCGCACAAATTTCTCCCACACAATACAACCAATGTCCCCCAATGTGTAAGTGGACTTGTCTGATGATTGATACAATTACATATAAGTAGGGACAAACCACTCTCAAAAAGGGGTGTTCTTAACCTTTCCCACTGATCCTTCTTCAAGTTGTCTTCTCACCAACTTTTCTGCCTTAAAGCATTTCAACTACACATTTCTTCCAGCTGAAACCTTCCCATAGCAAAAATATAAAGATTTCTGATTGCTACAACTATGGTAATGTTTTCAGTCTTATTTTCAGTGGAACACCACTTTTTATTCACTCATATCAGAGATATATATGCAATACATATAGAATTAGATTGGCACCATGCATGATATGCATATGATTTTTTTCATGATTTGTTTCCATATCACACTGATTACAGTGGATGTTTAATTTCAATCTTGATTATTAATATTCTAATCTTGATTTATCATACATGTATGTACATGTATACATGATTGTATAATGCATATCTACATGTATGTACACATGATTCAAATTACAATCAGGTCTTTTCTTGAAAGTTCATCTGTGTTGGTAGAAATCATTATGAAGCAAGTTTAAACTGAAACTTCCAACGCAACAAATTGGACTCACCCAAATTTTCGACTGTACAACTCCAGTCTTTGTCAAGGAATGAGCAAGCCACCGCTTCCGTGACGTCACGCAGATAACACACGTGACGCCGTGAGCAGTGGATCATAGGTTGCAGAAAGTCTGTGGTGCCCCCCGTCTCTGTTGAGGGATGGTTGTAATGCCCTGATGTAGATTGCTCATTCCTTGACAAAGACTGGAGTTGTACAGTCGAAAATTTGGGTGAGTCCAATTTGTTGTGTTGGAAATTGCAGTTTAAACTTGCTTCATACAATTAGGTCTGTATCGTGAAAATGTCCCACTCCAATTCTAAGCTGGCTTTAGACAGAGCTTTTGGGAACAATTCTAGCGAGGGTATACATTTATTTATGCAGTACTTGGTGTTTTACAGAAATTTCAGTAAGTACAGTTTCTACACAGTATATAGTAGAGTGGATTCATTTTTTTTTTTTTTCCTAAAGCTAATTAGTATCAATTTATCTAGTACACCTTAGCTGTCCCTAGTGCTGTGTACCTAAACCCACATTTAGGTGCAGGTCCGGATTCAAGTCCAGAGGTTTAGGTTCAGTTCCGGACCTAAACCCATGGCGTATACAAAATTGCATGTTGGCAACCTTACAATGTTGTTTGGGCAAAACTTGACGATGCCCGATGGCAATGTTTTCTTCATGTCTAGATGTCAGGCCAGGGAAGAAATGTTGAGTTTCTGTTTCGGTCCTGGAAAAATTAGGGTTGGTAGGCTGGGATTATCTTTCTTTTTTTTTTACCTTGCCAACCTCTCTCTATGCATATGATCCAACTTATACAAATTACAATACAGTTTAACAAAGTAAAACCTGCATGAGGACACTTATATTTTCAATATCAATGTTGGAAAACCGATTGTTCAACGTTTCATCACTCAGGTGTCAGATCATGGAGCTAGAAAATGTCGATCAACTTGAAAAATTTATGTCCCTTTATGGGGTTCACCCCCCAAAAAGTCTAGGGGTTTTGGGGGGTCTTCAGGGTCTTTGGGAGCTTTTATGTGCTATTTTCTGATTGTATATAGACACCATAGCCGGCCTGTTTGAATTACCCCCATTTTTAGAACTGGGCTAATCAGAAAACAGCCGAAGACCACCAAATCCCCAGTTCTATATGCCTGGTACGAGGCTAGCTTTTTCTAGGGTTGGTCTGGAAACAGGAAACATAACATTTTTTTTCCTAGACCTTAGCTTGAGGAATGAACCCACTCCACTATATACTACAGTTTTTACACAGTGGTTATGAGTCTGCTCATGGAGAACAATCGTTGTGGAAGCCTGAGTGTGCAGCAAGCAGCGCCCCTCAGTGGCTGTTTGAGGGAACTGCACCTCTCCCACCTGTTCCTCTTGGTGTCGTACTTCGTCACCGTGTTCAGGCGCACCGAACGCCGCGAGGACGTCGAGCTGAATGCCCTCCCGCCCACCACGTAGACGCTTTCGTTGAGCACGGCCACTCCCGCGCCAGTCTGTGCTTCCAACATTGGCGCCACGACGGACCACTGGTTTTCCGCCATGTTGTAACATTCCACGGACACGACATCATTAACAGGGAACCCTGGACCCGAGCGATTCTTGTATCCACCGATAGCAAACACCTTGTCGCCAACGGTCGCCATGCGATGAAACGCCCTCGGAGAGAGCAGCGGAGCCTTCTCGGACCACTCGTCGAGCGCGGTGTCGTAGGAATGTACGCGGTTGTGGAAAACTTTATTCCGACCACCTCCTGATACGAGGATTTTACCCTGTAGCGCGGCGCCTGCGTGGCCAAACACGGGTTCGTACGCTCTCTTTACATACTTCCACTCATCCACCAACGGATCATACCTGTAAACAACAACATACATAATAAGGATGAGTGTCTAAAATCAACTCTCCACTAACCAACCAACAAACAAACAAACAAACATGCTCCTTTTGAAAGTTCCCAGGCCTTGAAATTATCTTTTCTTCCTATTGTATCAGCACTGTTCCAAAAATAAATTTCAATTGTTCTGAAGTGAAGATGAACTGTTTTTTGGGAAGTATTGTGTGACTTCAACTTGGAGTCAACTTTACTTTATTTATGTTCACTCTCAGGAGCACTATAATTACAGAGTAGACAGGAAATTTGGGGGGACTTTTCCGGATCCAAAAGCCGGGACATGTGCCTGATAAACAAAAGAAAGGCTGACATTCTGATGTTGATTATTTTTCTAATGTCCCAAAAATGTCCGAATGTGTCTTTTTACTTGTCCCAGCTTAAATATTAGTGGTCAGTGGACCACCTTTAATTTCGAGCCCTGAGTTCCCTTCAAATATTAAAGGTTGTCAAGTAGAAAACATCTTATTTCATAATACAGAACATTCTTGTTTAATAATACAGCAGAGACACTACATAACAAATGTTGAACTTAAACCTAACTTCAACATTTTGGTTGCAGTGAGTTAACACATTTTTTTTCTAGCGGACTAGTCCCCTGCTGTGGTGCTTGCACAGCTGTGTGGCCCAAGGGCTTTAAAAATCGAGATGGGCACTGCCCTACACACCATGTAATGTAGAAAGGATATTGTTACTGTAACTGTAATGGTCCTGAAACAGCAGTCTATGTCTGTGAATAGTTTCATCAGGTTGGTAGGTCACTGAGTAAAGAAACTCTTTTTACACAACCAAGTGTTCTATTCAGCCGACATTTCGGTGACCGTCTGTCACCTACCTAACCTTCTGTACTCCTGTACGTTTTTTTTTTAACGGTGTCGCTCAATGCAAGGCCAATTATATTTGGCCACTTCTAGGCACTTCTAGCTAGAGGCACTTAAGTGAGTATAATGTAGTTATGTCAGGAGATGGCGGTGGACCTTTGTTTTGAAGCTTTGTGGATTGTAATCGGACAAAAAGCATCTGTTTGGGACCGCATTGTAGATACAGTTCCCTGTACATGTGTAGATATGTAAATTGTACATAAATTGTAGATTGTACGTTTGGGAATGCATCTATAGCAGCGACACCTGTGCTGCAGTGCAACGTGAACCAGTCAGAATTGCCCTGAGAAAGGTGACAGACGGTCACCGAAACGTCGGCTGAATAAAAGACTTTGTTGTGTAAAAAGTGTCTCTTTACTCAGTAGTCTATATCAGATCTCACCTCTCTACAGTGAAGAGTTCCCCAGGAGTCTTGTTTCTGCCACAGATAGCGTACAGGTGGTTGCCAACGGGTACCAGGGAAAAGTCACTCCTGGCCTCCTGCATGGAGGCAACTGACAGCCACTGGTTCCTCCCTGGATCATACCTGAAATTCATGTTATGATAATAATATTAATACCTAGAAAGGTAGCATTTGCAAGGCAAATGCATAATGTTTACATTCGCATATGGTCTGCTCTGTTAATTCTTGCTCAAACACATTCATGAATATTATGACAGGAGTCTAAATCCCTCCTACTACAAAATTGCAACATGATGTAACCCAACACTAGTTACCTTGGTGAAAATGTCTGGTCCAGGTCATTGACCTTTTGTGTTTGGAGAAGAGGAAACAGAGCAAAAACAACATGTTTTCCTTCAGTAAGGCCTAGGAAAAAATGTTGTGTTTCAGTCCTGAAAAAATTAGGGTCGGTAGGTAGGGATTATCTTTTTTTCCCCTTTTTTTTTAGAAATCAGTGATATCTATATAGGGGTCCAACTTACACAGTTTAACTTAAGTAAAACTTGCATGAGGACACTTTTATTTTCAAAACTTGTGGGGTCGTGTGGCGTAGCGGCATAGTGCTCGACTCGGAACCAAGAGGTTCCGGATGTGAATCCTGACATGCCACCGATGTTGTGCCCTTGGAAAGATACTTAACACAACTTTCCTCACTTAACTCAAGTGAAATGATTATTGTCTGTCCAGTGCAGGGTTCTCACCAGGATTTTTTCACAGCATAGGGGTCAGGTATAGAAGGGCAACTTTCTGCGGCGCGAGTCACGCACCGAGTCCCCAAAACATGGGCCTGATATTCTCTCCCAAAAATTTTGTAACTCATATTAACCACTTAAGACACTATTTATTGTTTATTGGGGGACAGATTTTGTTTTCCCTCTGTTATAGCTTCATTCTTAAGTTATATTTTCATTTTTTTAAAGATTAATGAAGCTTCTGCCCCCAAAAACCACCCCTACGCTGGTTGAAACACAGTGTAGGGGGCTAAATTACAGCGTAGGGGGTCAAAATCACAGCGTAGGGGGCCCCTACGCTCAAACAGCCTAGTGAGAACTATGCAGTGTATTTGTTCTATGTGTGGGACACAACACCAGCAACAGCTGCCTTAATGTCCCACATGTATTGTACTGTTAAAATTTCAATAAATCAAGCCAAATCAAAAACTCCTAACTAACCATATATATGTTGTGAAACTTACCGCCACACACTGTTGATGGCTAACTTGTGACTGCTGAGTTTGGAGATACTTGGAGCCTCTCCTCCCGCGATGTACACAAAGTTGTTCAGCACAGCAGCACAGTGGTAACTTACTTCCTGCTCCACTTCTGAAAAAAACAAGAAGAACTTTATTGCACGGCAATTGCACATGGTACACAATGTATGGCAATGTGCAAAAAAAGAAATGTATTGAATAAAACGTAATGTAGAATAAAGCCTAACATATCCTAATAATATTACTTAAACAACAAGGGCTAGAACAAGTCTTTGATAAAGTGTTACAATCGAGTGGGCTAATCACAAGTTTCGGTATTTTTTTTCTAATAACAAAGCAGTCTTTTATATATTTACCTATTTTTGCATTGTGGGAATCATTGCATGCTAAAATATATTCAAATCTGTCTCTAGCATCGAGACTCTTGAAATTCGAGAAATGTAAATAGCTTATTATGTAAAACATCATATTCTAACAGTGCATTCCATAACAAAGTGAAATTCATCTTCAATATACTTTTGACAAAATGGACAAAACCTTTGGTCAGGGGCTACACTATAATATCTCCCTGTTATAAAACACATTTTTTTACTGTTGACCAGTTTGCGTGTTTGTTTTTTTGCATAACTGGTAAACTGGCCTATGGAGAAACATATTTAAGTTTTGTGCAGCTCTGTAATACTGGACTGATAGTTTTGATCCACTTGACTCATATTGGGATGGTTTCCTACTCTTGTCAGAGTGTGGTTGGTTCTTAAACATGGTTGAAGTGTGTCACTCCTCAAATACGGGGCCTTCAGCTTTACATCCCATCTAAGAGGATGTCCCTGTCATAAGCTAGGTACTCATTTTCACCAACAAGTTGAGCAAGGGAATTTGTTTCAAGTGCCTTTCCCATATACACGACTTGCCAGAACCTGCATTAAACATTATGTTGTCCCATGGAGGTAGAAAAAAAGAAATGGTTGTCCAAAACTTTTGAAAATAATTGATTCTTTTTTACATGTTCTACTAGTATTTCATTGGTGCTTCCTTGGTTGTACTGCAAATCACTTTATATTTGGGGTAGCAAAATTTCGCGGTGTGAGAAAAATGGACCTGTTTGCGGTTGGGGCAGGTGCAGAAGAAATAAAGTCGGCAAATAATTATGATAAATTTGTGGTACAGAAGTGACCGCAAAAACCGTGAAGATAAAAGTACCACGAATATAGAGTGATTTACAGTAAATGATAACCTACGAGCAAGGTCCTTCCACGCAGAGTTCTGACTGTACATGTCGAGGAAGGTCACGTCCTCGCAGCTTTCCTCGTCCTCCCCGCGCTGCACGATCCCGCCCAGCGTCACCACGCACTGGTAGTCAGACCTCAGGCTAGCCCGCGGCGTCTCCAACACGGGCTGCCGGTACACCATGTTGTGGTACCGCGTAGCCTCCTTCAGCAAGGCAACACAACTAGAAAACAAGAAAATTGTTATAAAAACTGGAAAGGTTAAAAAATTTGCAAAGCAAATGCATAATGTTTACCTTCACACATGGTCTGCTCTGTTATATATGGTCAGATAGGAGTCTAAATCCCTCCTACTATAAGATTGCTACATTATGTAACCCAACACCATGGTGACAGACGTCAACAATTCAGGTAATAGCCAGGTCAGAGGTCAGTGTTTGGAGAAGAAGAGGAAGATGAAATTGAGCAAAAACATGTTTTCCTTTGGTAAACATAATGAATACATAAAATAAAAAGGTAACATTTGCAAAGGAAATGCATAATGTTTACCTTCACAAATGGTTTGATCTATTAATTCTTACTCAAACATATTCATATACATTCATTATATATGGTGACAGGAGTCTAAATCCCTCAAGCTATAAAATTGCAACATGATGTAACCCAACACTAGTTACCATGGTGATAGACATCTGGTTCAGGTCATTCACCTTGTTTGTTTGGAGAAGAAGAAGAAACTGAACAAAAACAGTATGTTTACCGAATGTTTTCCTTCGGTAAACATAAAAACAGTTCCATAGGTCATTCAAGAATTCACAACCTCCCACAAAATGTAAATCTCAAAATATTCATTGTTTTGAAATATTTAAAAATATGTATTGTATTCCTGTAACATACAAGTTCAGAAGACTGACAAACCGGGAATCTTTCTTGACCAGGTCCCACTCTCGAGCCACTGTCATCATCATCTGTTGTGGAGGCAGCAGGGGGAACCTCACACACTCCAGGATCCTACAGGAATGAGGAATAATCAGAAAGCCACGTCAGAGAAGTTTAGACATCAAGGTAATAAGATATGCCCAAAAACAGTTCTCAAGCAATTGCACAAGTTCTCTAGTGTCACGTAGTGGATGCTATCTGAAATGTCTGACCGTTTCCAAAATCATATCCATTTACTTGAGTAACTGTTTTTTTGTGAATCAGAAAGCCAGTAGTACAATGGTTAAAGCTTATAGACTCAGACTTCCAGTGGTTAAGGTAGGAAAGGGACATGCAGGTTTATGTCAAATTTTTGGGGACACTGCATGTTTGTACACTTAGGTCCTCGTCAACATGACGGACGAACGACACACACTTAGACTCTAGTTAAGTAAGTAAGTAAGTCCCATAGCCTTCACGGCCGTAGGGGCATCATGACAGCCAGCAGCATGTCTGGACTTGTCACGATGACTCCTCAGGCTTATAATCTTGGCGGCGCCTATCTCCTCTCCAAGATTTGGCTGATACAGACGGGGTTTGCCAGGCCTCCGTCCGGGTGAATGATGTAAATCACCATGTGGCATATACAAGACGGAGGTCGCCAGGCCTCCGTCCGGGTGATTTGAAGTGAATCACCAACTCCATACATTAGTGTTTGTACCGTCACACACCGGGGCATGCCCCTACTCTTTTTCGAAAGGTGTGGTGGGATCTTTAACGTGCTCGAGGTGTGGCTCTCCTCAAACACGGGACCTCCAGTTTACGTCCTATCCGAGGGACGTCCCTAGCCGAAGCTAGGTACTCATTTACACCTGAGTGAAGTGAGGAAAATCGTGTAAAGTGCCTTTCCCAAGGGCACAAGATCGGTGACAAGGTGGGGTTCGAACCCACAACCTCTGGGGTGTGAGCCGAACGCGCTACCGACTGCGCCACACGACCCCACTCTAGTTAGCCCTTGGAAAAAATGTTGTGTTTCCTGTTTCAGTCTTGAAAAAATTAGGGTCGGTAGGTAGGGATTATCTTTTTTTCTTCTTGTTTTTTTTTAGACTTTGGCAATCTCCAGAGTCTAGTGATCCAACTTATACAATACAGTTTAACAAAGTAAAACTTGCATGAGCACACTTCTATTTTCAATGTCAATGTTAGAAAACTGATTGTACAACGTTTCATCACTCAGGTGTCAGATCATGGAGCTTAAGGTTGATCAGCTTGAAAAATTCATATCCCTTGCAGGGATCCACAAAAAAAAAGTTGGCAGTTTTTTCTAGGGTCGCTTGGGATACATGGAACACAACTACATTTTTTTCCTAGGCCTTAGTTAAAGTTATGCATGGCTTTTGAGCAAAGTTTCAAATCCATAAGTAGTTACGAAATAAATATACATGTATGAGTGAGTTTCTCGTAATATTCTCACATTCATAGAAGATACCAGGTATTCCAAACTGTACGTACTTGTTCATATGTTCCCAGCGAGCTACGTCGTGGTGTAGCCACTTCATCGCTATCCCGAACACCTCCACCTCCGACATCACCCGCAGCGAATCACGGCTCAGGATTTCCACCAGCTTCCCGAGTTCCAGTTTCTGAAATTGCTGCCGATTGGACAGAACAATGATGTTGTCCGAAACGAACTTGTCCACGGCTTCTTCAAGGTCGACGAGATTGTACGTTTTCGTGAGCGGGTAAAAGTCGGCGCAGTTGTCCATGTCGATATGTTTCTTCAGAAATTCGCAGCACGGTTCGACGATTAGCGAGCTTTGGAGATACGAGCCGACGTGGAGAATTTCTTGGACGTTTTCCGTGGTGAGTTCCAGAGCTGAGGTGTACGCAAAGTCGACGACCTTTCGCAGAAGTTTTCCGTCGATACCGCCAACTTCGATCACCTGAGAACTTGTTTCGCGCATCCCCGCTGAAAACATGGCCAAGAAATAGTCACTCAATGCTGCCAGCATGATCTTATGTGTCGGAATTTGCTCCTTTCCACATATCAACGTGGCGTCGTACATAAAACCGTCGTTACGAAACTGGTTGATGTGCTTGAGGATACCTTGTACGTGAAGCATCTTGGCTGGTTCGCAGAGCGCGGGAACATTATCCGCCATCTTGAGCACAGCCTGCTCGACTGACAACAACTTGAAGTACCTTGCAACTTTCGCGATCTCTTGCCTTTCCCTTGCATCTCCACTCCGCAACAACTCAATATCGGAAAGATACGCGTACTCCACAGCTTTATCTACAGCGGATGCGGTAAGACCGGACCCTCTCAGGTCGATTTCGATTTTAGTAGCTCCACGGAAATCCTGCAAGCTGCTCTTATCGTTTTCCGTTGCATTTCTTGAAGAATATTGCTGGAGGATTTCTTTAAAATTGGAGCCGGTCGACACTAAAATAACTCGATGGGCGTGGACTGTTTCCGCATCGCACACGAACGTTACGTCACATAGCACCCCCTCCTTCCTTAGCTTGTTGAGCGTGGTGAGGAGTCTGTGAGCATGCTTGGCAAGGGCACTGGGCTTGGCAGCGGCAGCAGCACCCCCTTTCTGTGATGGCTGGCGCTGCACCTCCGCGGGTGTGTGCGGACTTGCTGGCGCTGCCATCTTTGGGGCTGTCAACACAAAACACAACATTTTGAGTAAATCAGAAGAAAAATGCAACAGTTTACTGTTTTTCCTCTAGACTTTTAGCTGTGAATGAACAATTCTTATAAGGACTTACAGAATAAGAAAGACTGCCAAAAGTCTATCATATTGTTCCCTTACTAGTCTGGAATAGCCTTTACCAGGCTTTGGCAGGCAGTTGGAAAGAGTAGATAACATGCCGAGGGAGTTGGTTTCATAGAGTACTCTCTCTCTCTCTCTCTCTCTCTCTCTCTAGATCTCTCTCTCTCTCTCTCTCTCTAGTGGACCAACTCCCTTGGCATGTTATCTCTCTATTTGGCCAATTTCTATTCTTTCCAGCCACCTCCCGAAGCCTGGTAGAGGCTAAGCTGGCAGACACTTTTAAATCAAATCCTTCTAAAGGAATTGATCTTTTGAAAAAAAAGTACTAACTAGTCACAAGAATTGAAGACAATGATTGTGTTTTGAAAGCACAGTATGCTGTAAACTGCATGAACTATAAGGGTTAGCTCATTAGAATTTAGTTATAGAAAAAAAGTTTAACTGTTTAAACTTACCACCCATGTATAACAAATAGGGATAGAGCGATGACAACCCACACCAAGTAGGGCTAAATTCTCTGGGAATAAACGCACTAAACGTACAACGATGTTGAGCTAACATCGAGCCTCAGAGATGGCGCAAAAGTGAGCGATGGCCCCACAACCCATATATAAGTCCCCCATGTTGTTTGATGTTGGATTCGATTTAACTACGCCGCTAAAAGTAGTACGTTTGGAGCAAAAAGGTTGTTTTAATAATGGATAACTTGTGGCACCCACAGACAACATATGACACCACAGATTCTACTTTTGAATCTTGGTCGGACGGCACTCAAAGGCGGAATGAGGGAGGAGTGCCCCTGGTTCTCAGTTTAGGCTAAAGCCTGCTGGGGGAGGTTATGGTCAAGTGGAGTTGTTTGAACTTGTTTCCCAGTTTAGAAAGAGCCTGCTGTGCCACTACCACAGCCAAGTGCTGCATTAAAACAGATATGCTTTGACTTTGACTATGCTATGTACCTAAACCCACATTTAGGTTCAGGTCCGGATGCAAGTCCAGAAGTTTAGGTTCAGTTCTGGACTTCTGGACTTGTAAGTCCGGACCTAAACCCATGGCATATACAAAATTGCATGTTGGCAACCTTGCAATGTTGTCTGGGTGAAACTTTGGCCACATAACATGGAGGCCGGTACTTGACGATGCCCGATGGCAATGTTTTCTTCATTTTGCAGCACAGATTTTGCAATCTACGGATAGTTTTAGGTGGTTTGGAAAGAAAAGGAGTATGTGAAATGCTGTTTTATGGTAATACATGTAAATCCAGACTCGGTTCTTGACTTTTAGGGTTTTTTTTACTTGAAACTAAACATTCTTTCAAGTCCAGTGAACCTGTACACAGCACTACTTTGACTTCTGTTGACAGTTGAAATATCTAGTATGAGACAATTTTGGGATGAGGGAAGCATTGTATTTACATCGTGTTGACATTTCAAAAAGTTAATATTTTCTTATTATTATCAAAATGCACATGACACTAAAAATGCAACATTTTCTGATCCTATTCAACAATGAATCATAGTATCATTTAATGAACATTGTTTAATATCATTCAATTCACGGAACGTGGATGGCAGATAAATATGAAGAGAGGAGACAAGAGAAGGCTCTGATTTGTCTTTTACTTTGATGCAGTGATGTTCCCACTGAATCAAAAAATCAAAACCATTTGTACAATGAATCAATGTTTGAAACTTTTATTTTTAAAATTTTTTTCAGTCAGAAATGGATGTTGTAATAGTTGGCAGTAAACTTAGCACAATATTATATAGGTATGAAATCTTGTTTCACAAGGTTTATGATGTCAAAATTTGAAAATGTTACAAGGAATCGCATTAGATTTGGAGTCTGCAGAGGATGTCATCCATAAAATTTACTTGCTGTGACCTAAAGATTGTGTGAACTGAGGACAACATCTGTGACAGATGGATATTTATGACTGTGTTATGCCAACGTTCCACCCCCAATTTCTATTTCCAGTCCCTACAGCATAAGTAACATACTGACCTGTGAGTTATGTCTCTAACGCATGGTTCACAAAAAATCTTTTCTGAAAGTTCTAGTTATTCAGAATTGTAAAAATGATTTTAATGTTTCAATACTCAAGCATATATGACAAAAGAAATGCAAATTATAGAAAAGAAGTATGATATTTTTGAAAATCTTTGGTATAAAATAAATGGGAGGTGGTCTTGTGGAATGATATGAATTGATCCCTATTAATACGAAGCATGCTATATTGGGGGAGGGGGATAGTGTAGGCATGTGGGGGAATTTGATTGACACTTAGACGTGAGACCTCATGTGTTAGTCTGTCCAACAATAACATACAGATCTAAGGGAGTGGCTATACTGGTGTCCATCTTAGTATAGCTCTGGTTTGTCTCGCTTTCCTGACAGTATGGCACCTGTTAATAGTAAATCAATTGGTATTTGAATGGTTGCCTAAGGCCACACCAATTTAATTCGTTGGTTCACAGATTCGCCCGCTTCATTTTTTTTCCTGATTTAAGGCCACACCAATTTAATTTCTTGATTAACGGATTCGCCTGCTTCATTTTTTTCTGATTTGCAAAAAAAAATTCAGATTTGAATCAACTGCAAAATGCTCATATTTTGCCCTGAACAGTTGAAAACAGTCCTTTTCTTCCTAGTTGTTACAGTTATTCCATCTTTCAATGCAGTGGTATCATTAAAAGTTCAAAATTCATTGTTTAGATTTTGAACCAGGCTGGTGTGTTGACTTCATGGCTCCTATCGTACCATTTGGTGGTATAATAGGATGCCTAGGCCTGCTTTATTTTTCGCCCTGTCACTTCGTATTTTTTCTGAAAAAATCCGAGAACCAACAAATTAAATTGTTGTGGCCTTAGGGAGGTAATCAGAGGAGCCAGAATAGACTGGATACCAGGCTACATTTCAACTTCAAAGCATCATTTAGATCATCCAAAGTATGCGAAACATTCTGTTGTAATTTACAAGTCAGTTTCTAAATTCATGTGGGAAATTGTGTTCTGGGGTCATTGCGGTCACTGCCCCTAGTTATGAATGGGTGTGTGTTGTGTACTTCAAAGTATGTCAAAAATTATTTTCAAAAGTACAAAATGAATATTACAACTATGTACAACCAAGATTTATATTAGACAATTCAAACTCTACTACTGGACAAAATCCATATTTCGTTAAGTAGTAGACTTTGAATTGTCTGTGAATATCATTTACTTGGATCATGTCTAACCTTCATCAATGTACAATAAACATTGTTCTCAAAACTGATCTTCAAAACTGTAGCCTAGTTATGTTAACATTCCTACCTCTACTTTTACTTTTAGCAACATTAATTCTAGAAATTTCATGTTTTAAAACTCAACAAAGACTTCTTTTCAAGTGGCAACTTTTCTTAGTATATAACTTATTATTATAAGATATAGAACTACAATTTAACATATTATTAAGTATGATCCAAAAATTGGACCATTGGAATTGAAACTTACTAGTACTTTAGAAATTAAAGCAAAACCTAAATTTATTTCCCTATACAGTGTTCGAAATACCTGTCTGCAGTCTGCAATCTGCAGATGGATTTTCAAGATTGCAGAAGAAAAATTTATACAATCTGCAATTTTGCAGCAGGAAAAATTGGCACTTGAGATTTGGCGCTCTTGGCCCCAAGGACAGACAACACTTAAGCTCTTGTTCTGAAACAACAGGAGCTTCTTCACTAATTTGCATCAACCTTGTCTTGACTTGTCTACCTTTTGTTTCTTTTTGGACTTCCAAAAAGTTGTCTTCACTAATTTGCATATCAATCAATAGTTCATGCTTATAAACCTGCAAGATTGTAGTATGGAGGCTTGTGTATTTGCAGAAAGTATTTCCAAATTGCAGAACAAAATTTTGACTCTTCTGCAATATTGCAGAGCACTGAAAAAAAGTATTTCGACCACTGCTATATAAGCATTTCACAGTCATACAGCATACATACTAGTATGCATGCATATACATATACATACATTTGTTAAAACAGTTAAAACCTCTACATCCAGAAATTAAGAAAAAAACACAAATTGTAATGCCAACTCTTTTGCTTCATGAGGGTCAATATATACATGTATACGGATAGTGTTGTTTCAACTCACTATGAGGATAAATGACTAGAATATAATTGGCTTTGAAAAATCGGGATTCGAACCCCTAAAAACTGCATTTGATTCCTTTAAAATGCATCTAAAGAGTAAAACTTACCATCTTTCTCGTACGGGCGGACCCACCGTCCCAGGTAACTGTAGAACCGCCGGATCCCTCGGATGGCTGAAATCGACACAGCAGGCACAGAAATTAACGATCATCCTCTACCTACGCCCTGTTCGCTTTTTAAGGAATAATATTTATCATATAGGGATTAAAATGTAGTAACGTCTTCAACATCTGTTCCTGCTAGAGTCACATGTGTATGATACAAATGGTTGCTAGGCAACCAAAGAAACGAGGATCATCTGTACTTTTACAACTTTTGCAGGGCTGGAAATGCTGGGTGCATGTGCTTAGTGCACCCGAAATTGGAGCTGTGCACCCAATTGAATCTCATTTCAGATTCAAGCTCAGAAGAGGAGCAGTAAGATATGTAATTAAGTTTTGTTTTGTTTTGTTTTATATGGTGCACCCAAAAAATTTTATGTGCACCTAATTTTTTAGTTTGGGTGCACCAGTGCACCTATTTCCAAACATGAATTTCGAGCCCTGTTTTGATATAGTCCGAACATGCTGAACCAAGCTACATCTATGCCCTTGGTTGCTCTTTATCTTTATCGGGTAACAACAATTCATGGTGAATTAAAAGATACTGTGTATGTATTTCAATGTGTCATGTTGGAGATTGAAATTAATTTTAAATGGTAAATAATATCTGGGGTCGTTTTCATTTTCACTTGTGGGGTCGTGTGGCGTAGCGGTAGTGTGTTCCGCCCAGGCCCAAGAGGTCCCAGGTTCGAATTCTGCCCGGTGTCACCGATTTTGTGCCCTTGGGAAGGGCACTTTATACGACTTTCCTCACTTCACTCAGATGTAAATAAGAGAGCACCTAGCTTTGGTTGGGGACGTCCCTCGGATAGAACGTTAAATGGAGGTTCCGTGTTTGGGAGAGCCACACCCCACACACGTTAAGAACCCACCACACTTATCGAAAAGAGTAGGGGACCTTCCCGGTGTGAGTGGTTGAAACCTTACAGTCCGGTCTCAGGTTTGACATATTGGAGAGGTGATAGTCACCTGTTATGTCAATCCTTCCACAAATGTGGTAAATCTTCATAAAATAATTCAAAATAGAAATACTAGTGATGTATACAAACTACAGGCAGTGCTTTAATAAAAACATTGCCATGGCATTAAAGGAGATATTAAAGTGAATCGAATTAGGGAATTTTTAGTACATGTACCACCGTTTTGAAATGTTCAGACTGAGGAATTCAGAACTGCCAGATTCTTCTGTTAAATGTACAGTATCACCAGTATTATCACCAGTATACAATGTACGTGTAGATCTTCATTACTTTGTTGTCTCAACAGTTTCTGTGGCATAGGTCACAGGCCGACACTTTATAGACTTTATGACTGTGTCCTGGCATGGTTCAGTGCTGTTTTTAGCTATACAAATAAACACTTGTAAGAGTATTGGGGAAGTTGTAGAAAACTCAGATACCCTCTACCAGGCTTTATGAGGGCCTCCATGGGGGT